AGGGAGGGAGGCCCGGTGTGGGGCAGGGGGTTGGTGGGGGGGCCGGGCGCTCTGGCGGAGTTCAGTCTAGCCCGTGTCGGGAAGCAGCCCACGCCGGTGCCAGCCAAGCCCCACAAACCTGACATGGCAGCCAAGGATGGATGGCCCTTGGCGTCTGTCCCCTTTCCTGCTGCGGCTGCAGGGGGCGCTCCGGGCTCAGACAAACCGGCCCGGCCTTCCCCGGCCCCCAGCGTCACCTCCCTGCCCTCTCTTCCAGCCGCCCAGAAAGCCCGGGAGCAGTTTGAAGAAGCCGAAAAGTCTCTGAAGGAAATGGAGGATTCCATCCGGTAAGGGGGCGACTGGGGGGCCGACAAGTGTGGAGGAGTGTGCCAGGACCGGGGCCACCTGCCCGGATCCAGACTAAGATGCCTCGAAATGTGACCAAGTTGAGGGGGGACTTTGTGGTTGACGCGTGAGCTGGAGAGGCAGGACTCCTGGGTTCTCTTCCCAGCCCTGGGGGAGGAGTGTGACCTAGTGGGTAGCGCAGGTGTGGGCTAAACAAGGGAGTCAAGCAAAACTGCCAGGCCTTGGATGGCTGCTGGGATTGGAGATGAACCGCAGCTAGGGCCAAAAGCCAATTAGCTTTCCCCAATTAAGCTGTTAATGAGGATTGGGGATTTTTGAAAATCCCGTCTTGACAGTGTTCCTTGATCTCTGCTGTCTCGCATCCCAGGCTGGCTGTTATGACTACAGGCTTGATGGCTTGGGGAGGGTGGGGTGTTTGATGGAGACACCGGCCCACCCCCTGGGGACTCAGTGTCCCCGCAGAGCTGTTTATCTGGAGCAGGAAATCGGCTTTTCCTTCCCTCCCCTCAGCCCTGACCCGTCCCAGGAGACCACAGCGAGGTGGGCGCTGATGTTAAAAAAACCAAACTCCCCCCCTCCTCCCAAGCTGTCTTCTATCGATCGTGTGCATGGTGAACCACAGTGCCCCCCCCCGACCAGGCCTGGCAGCACCCTTAGAACAGCGAGGGCAGATGCTGCATGAGGTGCGAGGGCTGTAAAGACCTTTCCCCTATTGTACCAGGCCTCTGAGTTAGTTACTCAGCACCCTTGGAGTTTGAGTTCTGCTCCGTCGAAAGGAGCCAGCGTCGGTTACCCCCCCAAAAACTACGAGGAGTCCGGGGGCACCTTAAAGACTCAGCGCCGGGTTTGACCCGGAGCCGATCCCCCCGGCACGGCTTGGCTCCCAGTCGGGAATTCCATCGCGTGTCCTTTGTGTCTTTGCTGCCCAGTCGCGAGGTCGGCACAGAACCAGGCTGTAGCCGCCGAGCTTTCCTGGAACCTTTTATTCTCGTGTCCGCGTTGTGGCTCCGTTCTGTAAGGCGCATTGAGATGCGATCCTAGCCCCGGTTCCTCCTCTGCTTCTGGCTCATCCCGGTGTGACGGCGCGGTGGGGTCCCCCGCCTCCTGCACCCCCGAAATGGCACGGACAGACTCCACCAGCCGGTAGAACAGAGGGAGGTTATTGCCTCTCCGGGATACAGCACAGCGCAGGTGTCACCAGGTTACAGGGCAGGCCTAGGATGCCTCAGCCCCCCTTGATATGGGGTGGGGGTCCAGCTTCTAAACCCCCCAGCCTGTTGCTGAGGCTGCTTCCTCCACGCTCCCAGACAGAAACTAACTAACTCTCCTCCAGCCCGGGGGGGCATTCCACCTTCCTTTGTTCCTCTCCATGGGGGGTAGCTGGTCAGACAGGGTGAGAGGGCCTCTTTGCATAATGTCTCACTCCCTGTCCTTCTGGGCTGTGGTACCGGCAGCAGCCAGTGGGGTTACCCCAGAGCCGGCATAGAAAGCAGCCCAATACCCCCACTACGTCACACCTGGTTCCGTCTTTCAACATCTGCTCAGCTCTGTCCCCGGGGGGGCTGGACTTTGGAGAGTCGGTCGCGAGTCGGTTTGCTTTTCTGAGGAACAAACCTGTCCCAGGCCCGGCCCGCGTTCCTGGCACAGCCAACCCCGTGCGTTGCGCCCGGCTAGCCCCAGAGGAAGCTGTACAGCGAACGCATCGATCCTGGCTCGTGGCATTTAGGAGGAGTTCTTCAGACAGACGAGCGCTTTCAAATATTTAGCAGATTCACTTTCCTGGGCAAACGCCCCCACGCGCCCCGTCAGATGTCTCTCAGACGGGTCTGTGCCCACGAAAGCGTCGGCCCAAATCCATCTGTTTGCCTTGAACGTGCCGCGGGACTCCTTGGTTTTGCGGATACAGGCGAGCACGGTGACCCCCTAAAATAGCAGCAGGAGCCCCTCTTCCCAGTCCACGGGCATTACCCACCCCCCCGCTTCTCTGCTGCACGTGATGCCTTTGGCTGAGCCATTAGCAAGCCCAGAGGGATGGGTTAGTGGAGTAAACAGCTCCGGTCCCCGGGGCGCGGCTGAGAGTGCCGGAGAGCACTCAGGTGCAAGGGCAGGGCCGGAGGGGAGCCAGAGACAGGCCCAGCGTGATCCTGCGGCTGGGAGCTGGAGCCAGACGTCGGGCTGGAGCTAAAGCATGAATTGTTAATGGGGAGCGAAAGGAACCGCGGGTACCATTGGCCCAGGCTGGTGGCGGCCAGTTGGAAATCCAGATTGGAAGGGGGGGAACATCTCCCCCACCCTACCCCCAGGCTCCTGGGGGCAGTTCTCCAGCCCCTCTGAAGGGCAGCGAGGGGGGGTTACAAACCCAGAGCCTCCCTCCCATGGCAGGGATGAAGAACACTGCAGCTGCCCCCACTGCTGGAGTGG